ATTCAACAAGCCTTTCCCTGATGCTGTTGCTGTTGTTGCACTTGATGCTGCCACATGCATGTGCGTGATGGCGTCTGATGTCGAGACATTGCCATTAGTGCTGCCTCTGTGCTGCTGTTGCTGCTTTCTCCGCCCACGTCTTCTCCGTCGTCGGCTCCTCCGGTGTTGTTGTTGTTGTTGTTGTTGTTGTTGTTGTTTAAGTTGTTGTTGTTGTTTAAGTTGTTGTTGTTGTTTAAGTTGTTGTTGTTTAAGTTGTTGTTGTTTAAGTTGTTGTTGTTTAAGTTGTTGTTGTTGTTTAAGTTGTTGTTGTTGTTTAAGTTGTTGTTGTTGTTGTTGTTGTTGTTGTGGCACCTCCTGCATCTTCGCTCTCTTGCTTGCGGGTTCTCCTCCTTCCTCGCAGCTGTCACTGTTATCATCGCCGTCATTGCCTGCACAAACGCGCTGCTGCTGCTGCTGGGAGGACGTGGCGTCGTCGTCGCCGTCTGCTCGTATTGGGTCTTCGATGCGCATTTGTGATCGCGCAGAGAGGCCGAGAGACGGGCCAGACAGCTGTTGTGGAAACGGAACGAGAGAACGACAGTGCAGTTGAAGGGACGGTGAGGTAAAGAAGCAGCACTGCCAGTGTTGCTGCTGGCAGATTGAGGATTAAGTGCGTGAAATCACGCTGGCCCAACTTTGTTCATGGAGCCCACAGCTGTCAACAGCAAGCAAACCGTTACTGACCTGCAGGAGGCAGTTGTTGTGGAGTCGCTGGAACACGAACATGTAGCGGAGGATGTAGAAGATGGTGTAGTCACCGAGGGCGGCATGCAGGGCACGCCACGGCTTGCTCTTGATCGTGGCATGGAGCGTGTTGGGAAACACGGCCTAAGGCACAAGTGTGTATGCCAGCAATTAAGTGTCAGCAGTGCATGAACATCTTGCGCATGCACGTGTTGAGACGCACACCAGACATGCACACAAGGCATGTTCACACACACACACACACTTGTGATTTGCACACGAACACACCTGTATTTCCGGAACAGCCTTGATGGATCCTTTGTCATCACCGCCGGTGGAGCGACGAAATCCGAGGCACAGCACATGTGTGGGCGACTGGCACGACTCGAACAGGTCTGCATCGCAAACACAAGGGCGGATGTGTACACATGTATGGCTCGTGTGTGAGGAAGTGAATCGAATACACACACACACACACACACACACACAAACGCACAAAAGCACATACACACACCAATGAGAACGCGCTGGAGGATGTATGGAAGCGAAGACAGCGAAGGCATGCGCGCGGCAGCTTGGTCAAAGACAGGGGCATCTGCACAGGAGAGGCAAAGTGAATGGATGAGAAGGTGGTGTGGAGTGGTGGTAAGCCTTGAACGCGCAACAACGGCACAGCAGGAAGTCACAGGAGACACACACACATACACAGCGGCATGCACTCACACTCTCTCACTCTCTCTCACATGCACACCTTGAATTGGCGCGACCATGATGGAGGTGAGGAGCGGCTGTGCCGCTGGATGGTTGCGCAGCAGGTGAGACGCAGGCGATGTGGCGGAAGTGGAGGAAGAGTCATTTCTTCTCACTGCGCGACCAGTGTTGGTACTGTGGCTGTTGTGGGTGCTGTGGTTCTGGTCCAGCCAGTCGTGCAAGGACAGCACGGGCGTGTCACTGCACACAGTGCTCAGCCACGACCATGTCGCAGCAGCCATCGTCGTCACTGTTGCCAGTTGAAGTTGGGACGATTGGTGGAAGATTTGATTATCATGACAGAGCACGCCGATAATGGAATGTAGGCACATGCAACTCCAGTCACACACACACACACACACACACACACACACACACACACACACACACACACACACACACACACACACACACGCACACACACACACACACACACACACACACACACACGCACCCTTGAGGGCTGCGGCCCAGGCGCGAATGTGGCGATCTGTGGGAGCGACGCTGGACAAGAGGTCCACAAGAGGCGGGAGATTCAAACGCTGCAAACACGAGCTGAGGTCGCGCGGCAGGTTGCACTCGTCCGTCTCGTCCTGGCACGAAGCAGCAGCACAAGGAGCATGAGGCGACGGCGCTGGTGTGAAGGGGGCGGTGCAAAGTAAGCAACACGGGAGGGAAACGAAAGCGAGCAACGAAGCAAACAAGTAAACCAAGGCAAACAAAAGCATGCGAAAGGCGAGTGAAAGCAAACAGAAGGCGAGCGAAGTCACCTGGAGCGCGGCCCTCAGAAGGATGGCGTGGCGACAGAGAGCAGTGCACCGCTCAACCACATCCGCCGCGAGCGACGACTCTGGTGTCACACACACACACACACACACACACACACACACACACACACACACACACACACACACACACACACACACACACACACACACACACACACACACACACACACACACACACACGTGGTGGCCGTAACATGGTTGTTATGGCATGGGTGAGCCGAGGATTGGGTGGAGCAATGCAGGTTCTATACGCTCGCTCATACAAACATGCCACAAACGCGACACAACACCAACACGTGGTGCACAGCAAACTGACCGGTTGGGAGGGTGGAAGAAAAGCCCGCTGCTTTCAAGAGCGGTGGGAGCGACGCGGCGACGGAGGCAACGGCTGTCAGGGAAGCACGTCATTGGTGAAACTTGAGCAGACAGCTGGTGGCTATGGATTGAAACAGGTATGCAGTCGACAAGCTGGCGGCGACGACCACGATGACGACCCACCCACCCACACGCACCCACACGCACCCACACACACACACACACACACACACACACACACACACACACACACACACACACACACACACACACACACACACACACACACACACACACACACACACTACACGCACCTTCGTCACTGGCGTCGGTGTCTGCTTGCTTCGTGGGCGCTGGCTGCGCTGCGGTGCGTGCTGCCTCGCGAAGTGCACACCAGTAGAGTGACACGGCGACGCATGCGGCAAAGGGGACGGGCACGACCGCTGTTGGTGGACGCGTCGTCTCTGGTGCCACCGTGGAGATGGCTGCAGTCAGGAACACAAGCACCTGTTGCATTGGCGGGAGGCAGAGGGGAGAGGGGAGGGTGGATGCGGATGGACGTGAATGTGTGTGAATGTGTGTGAATGTGTGTGAATTTGTGTGAACGTGTGTGAACGTATGTGAATGTGTACGTGCGTGTGTGAGGGTGTATTTGTGTAAAACACGTGTATGTATGTATGTATGTATGTGTATTTCAGCGCCTGTGAGTTGCATGCTTGAGTGCACCGCCGCCACCACCAGCAGCGGCACCAGCAGCAGAGCATTTCCACACCAACAGAAACTGCACCATCCAATCGCCCCCCCCCCTCCTCCTCACCCTGAGTGGTTCCAGTTCCCCTGGAATGTTCAGCGTGGCCGTGGAGGCAGCACTGGCACCATCATCGCCATCGTCGCCGTTGTCGCCGCTCTTCTGCTGCGTGTGCGCGAAGATGCGCGTGAACACTTCGGGCAGACGGACGTTCGCCTTTGACGAGAACTCGTGCACATATGTGCGCAGCATCGACAGCGCTTGCATGGACCTGGAGATGGAGAGGGGGATGAGGCGGGTTGGTTTGATGGTGCGTTTGGTGGGAGGGTGTGCGGGGGAGTGAATGTCAATGAGAGAGCGTGAGTAGACGTCAATAAAGGAAAGATGTGCTACACTTGTGCATACACCCACACAACATGTATGCATGCGCATGCAAGCGCACGGACGGTGTTCGCAAGGTGTTGGGAGACAGACACAGACACACACACCCACACAGACAGACACAGACACACACTCAGACACATCCGCTCAGAACACGCACTTCTTGGCGATTGGCTTGTCCTTGTCTGCCTGGTGCTTGTGCGCAAGCTCGACACAGGCGATGGTCTGCGCGAGCGACTGCCAGATGGGGACGATGCTGACGAGAGGTCGCGGTTTCGTCTCCGCACTCATCGCCATCATCGCCGCCTCGTCAAAGAACAGCAGGTTGGCCACTGCAGATGTTGTTGACGTGGTGGCATGGGTGAGGGAGGAAGAGCGCTGGTGGGGTGAAAATGGGGTTGGGGGATGGGGTTGTGTGTGTGTGGGGGGGGGGGGGGTTGCAGAGCAACGACAAGGGATTAACGCAAACGCCAGCCTTTTGCGGCCGACACACACACGCACACGCACTACATACGCACACACACACACACACACACACACACGCACGCACACACACAGTCACGCTTCAAAAGCACATCGTACGGTGGGTGTCTGTCTCTTGGGAGCGAGCGCGGGTGCTTGAGCCAGCACCGCGTGCACAGAGCGCCCTGAATTCGTCTGAGCGTTTCGGGGCACGATGGGCAGGCTTCTCTGGTGTCGTGTTGAGGCTGCACACGGCCGGGGACGCGGCGAGCAGGGCAGCGGTGGCCGTGGACGGTGTCATGGTTGGTGGTGATGATGATGGTGATGACGATGATGACGATGACGATGATTGGGATGGTGCAGTCAGCGTGATTTCGCTCACAATGTACGGCACTGATGTCGGACGTGGGAAGGAGGGCGGGATGTGGGTGGTGGTGCGTCGTCACGTGAAAAAAGCGTGGGTGAGATGATGTGAGCGAAAGAGTGAGTGCATGGGCGACTTTCACGCACACAAAACATCAGTGCACACACACACGCACGCATACACACACACACGCACAAGAACACAGACACACACACAGACACAGACACACACACACACACAACAGCACATACACACCTGCAACGTTGGAAGGGGCACGGCAGAGTGGGCAGTTGAAGTTTGGAATCAACCCGGCCAATCCCCTGGCTTGCACCCAGTGCTGTTAAGAATACAAAGATGGGTTTGCTCGTGAGGGGCAACAAAGTAAAGGCAGGCTGTATGGATGCTCGTGGTTGTGTCGTGGTGATGCGAGCAATGGTGGCCCAAACCAGCAAGCGCAATGCCAAACGAGCTGTGCCCCCCTCTGGACTTGAGGGGGCATCTGTCCATAACAGCCCCCCCCCCTTTCCCATTCCAGCACCAACAGACCACTGTGCAGGCTGGTGTTACGTTACGTACCCGCAGGAAGCCGATGAAGCAGGAGAGATGCATGGTGTGGCCGCAGCTCTTGAAGAACACGTCGCCCTTCTTGCTCCATTCAAACGCATCACCAACACTCGTGTCTGGGTCGCCATCACCATCACCATCGCCATCGCCATCGCCATCGCCATCGCCATCACCAGCACCGCCGTTGTCATCATCATCGTCGTCGTCGTCGTCGTCGTTGGAGCCACCGCGACGACCAAACGCATTCCTGTCAAGATGGACGCGAGGAGAGAAAGGTGGCGAGGTGAGGTGAGGGGAGAGGGAGGTGTGCAAGTAGTACGTTGATGGTTGTTGCAATGTCGCATGGAGTGAAGGCAGATTGCATGGATGGAGGAATTCAGGTGAGAGGGCGCATGTTCCAAAATAGGACGTGTCAACAGCATAGAACGATGGTCATTTCACGACAGCAAAATAACTCAACGAGCATTGTATCCCACGATTCATGAGCAATTAATTAAGCACACACACACACACAAACACACAAACACACACGTACCAACACGTGTTCGCACCTGAGTGATCGCAGATATTGCGTCATTGCTGATCGAAGCCGACCACTCGACAGCCGCCGACGCCGCCCAGCCCCTTCACCCTCACCCTGTTCGCCTTCTTCACCCTCACCTTCTTCCCCTTCTTCCCCTTGTTCACCTGCACCTTGTTCCCCTTGCCCTTCTCCGCCTTCCGTGCCTTCTCCACCTTCACCCGCGTCGCCTTGTCCTTCCTCATCACCGGCCATCCCCATAAGTGCCGTCGGGTCTGCCTCGCCCCGCATGAACGCCTGCAGCATCGCCATGGGCATGCGTACCGTGGCTCCAGGCTCGTTGTCGTTGCCAATCAGCGTCACCTCCGCCTCCTCGCCTTCGCCAGCGTCACCATCCAGCATGCCGTCGCCTTCTTCATCGTCCTCCATCCCGTCACCGAGATCAAGCAGGTCCTCCTCGTCCGTGTCCTCGTCCATCGCAACAAGAACAGGCGGGCGAACACGTCGCTCACCCTCACCTTCACCTTCAGTCTGCTGCTGCGATGATGCTGATCCGTGCACGGCTGCCTGTGCACCCTCGCTTGCTTCGCCTTCAGCGCCCTCAGTGTCTGCCGCTGGTGATGGCGGTGGCGTGCGCTTCGGGACAAGCACGCTCCCGTGCGAGAAGCAGCCAAGAACAACAAAATCGGCCGTCCTGGGGGTGGTTAATGAAGAGGGGGGGGGGGAGACCGGATGGTGTGTGTGTGTGTGTGTGTGTGTGTGTGTGTGTGTGTGTGTGTGTGTGTGTGTGTGTGTGTGTGTGTGTGTGTGTGTGTGTGTGTGTGTGTGTGTGTGTTTGGGGGTGTGGTGGTGAGGTAGCTCGTTGCATGTGATGTGGCGTACTGCGACGCAGCGTGATGTATGTAACACGTCATGCAAGATGGCATGGGCGGACAGCATCACAACAGCTCATGCGTACCTGGCATCTGCCTCTTCCTGGCAGTGGATGCATGACAGCACATGGCCTGTGCGTAGACAGCAGAGAGAGGGGAGAGGTGGGGCAATTGAGACTATGATTTGCAATAAACTTCCATCAACGGCACTCAGGCGTCTGTTCCTCACCACACACATAAACACACACACACACACACACTCTCTCTCTCTCTCGCTGTCTCTCTCTCTCTCAAACACAACCACAACTTCGCATTCCTTCACCCCATCCTCCCCCCACAACCCACCCCCACACACACACACGACCACTACACTGACGTGTTTCGTCCTCTGCCTCTGTTGCGCGGGACGACTGCGCCGCTGTTGGGGCGGCCTCCTCCCCGTCATCGTCTTCATCCTCCACGTGCATCATCGCCTTGAAGTCGCTCTGCATCTTCGAGAACTTGTTCATCAGCTGCTGCCGCTTCGCCTGTGCTCGTGGTTGTGTGTGTGTGTGTGTGTGTGTGTGTGTGTGTGTGTGTGTGTGTGTGTGTGCGTGTGTGTGTGTCAGCGTGTGTCAGAGTGTATTAGATTGTGTGTGTGTTTGTCAAGGGTTGTGTCGCAGCAATGTGGTTGACGATGGCCTGAATTTTCCCCAAAAGGCGCAATCATCACGACGACCATCCCTTTTTCACTTGTCATCATGTTGTGCGCACGGCGACCCACCCCAGCGCGCTTCTTGCGGCGTTTCTTGTCCACATCGGAGCTCGCCGGCTTTTGCATCGCCTGAAAAGGTGGCAGCAAGCACACATGCATATGCGCGAGTGTTTGTGTGAGTGTGTGTGTGTGAGTGTGTGTGTGTGTGGAGGCCGGCGTGTAGAATGGGCTGAGTGTATGCAGTTCGTGATGCTATGCACGCAAATTGCATTCACACCAATCAGCAGTGCGAGCGGACGTACAAATTGGCTGCGAAGGTCACCATCACAATCACACAAGCACACAATCACACAAGCACACAATCACACAATCGCCAGCGCAACACCTTGACGATTCCGAGGTCGGCCAGCTCCTTCTTCGTGGCATCGTCGCCCGTCTCAATGATGGTGGTGATGATCCAGTCAACACCGGCCCGGATGTCGTCAGGCAGCTGCACACACACACACACACACACACACACACACACACACACACACACACACACACACACACACACACACACACACAAACACACACACACACACACATGGTGGGAGAAGTGCAGATGACAAACGTGGTGAGGTGTGTACGGCATGAGGCAAGGATACACAAGCAGCGCGCCATGTATTTGTTGTGGACTCACATTCACGCACACACACATGTATACACACATGCACACACACACGCACACACTCACGTCTGGGACGGCCTTGACGTTGAACATGGCGGCGGCAACGCACGAGCCTGCGTGCGTCGGGGCAACCATCGCAGCAGCAACTTTGCTCGTGCCTGGTGGTGACGGTCGACACAACACGACGATGGTGAGGATGATGGTGTGGATGGGGAGAAGAAACGTTCAGAGGGGGGAGGGGATGAAGAAGGAGGGGCAGAATAAGCGAGCATTGACATGTTGTCAATTATCAGTGTGTAATAAATAACAGTGATGCAAATGCCAAACATCGCACTCGCACCGTTTTTCTGATCGTGCGCCACGCCCATTGCGTACAGGTGCACAATCATGTCAAGAACCTCCGTCGGCAGCGTTTTCTGCAAGACCAAGTAAAACAGAATGATGAGGGCTGCGTGGGATGCGCACTGATACACACACACACACTCACTCACTCACAGATACACACACACACACACATTCACTGACGCACACAGGCATACATACACTCACTGACGCACACACACACTCACACACACACTCTCTCAGACGCACACACACACACTCACACACAAACTGACGCACACACACACACACACACTCACACACTCACACACTCACAGACACACAGGCATACACACACTCACATACACACTGACGCACACACACACACACACACACACACACACACACACACACACGTGTCCTCGCACCATGCGGGGAGTGCCAATGTGGCGGGCAAACGTCAGGCAGGAGACGGCGAGCGCGGCAACTTCCGGGTGCGCCGGAATGTCATACAGGTCTGCAAACGGCTCGCGGAAGGCGATGGGCGCCGACGCAGGGAAGTACTTGCCCTTCTTCCCGCCGCTGGCCTTGCTCAGCCGCTCAACAAGATACTGGAAGTCCGCGTTGCCTGCGCACATTTGTGTGTGTGTGTGTGCGTGCGTGTGTGTGTGTGTGTGTGTGTGTGTGTGTGTGTGTGTGTGTGTGTGTCACAATGAGGCTGGCGTCATCGTTGCGAAATGTGCACATCAGCGTGTGTCCGCGCGTGCACACATGTTTTCACATACGCTGGCCCTCGAGGAGGTAGTGGAACTTGTTGTTGGCGTCTGCGAGAACAGAGTCCTTGAGCGAATACACGGCGCCATCAGCCGTGTCGCTGTGGACACAAGCGCGCAAAAGCACACGTATGGATGAATGAATGGATGGGTGGATGGATGGACATTCACAGCAGGCTACCAGCATCTCAATTCAAGCCACCACCACCACCACCAGCACAGTGGTGTTGGTCAACGTACCGCATGTCTGCAATCTGCCGGATGATGCGCGTGGCTGCGACTTTGTGTTTGTCGTCACGCGGGAGGGATTTGATTGCGTTGCTGAACGACCGTGGGCCCGTCGACAGCGCCTGTACATGTGCACGCGTCGCGTGAATGAATGCATGTCAGTGTATATTTGTGTGTTGGTTGCGTGCGTTGTGAGTTTGTATGTGTGTGTATGTGTGTGTATGTGTGTGCATGTGTGTGTGTATGTGTGTGCATGTGTGTGTGTGTGCACTTGCACGTGCGAGTGAGTTCTAAGCAACGGAAGCGGCACATGCATACAAGCACTTGGCATGTGTGAGCGGTGTGCACGTACGTAGAGGAGATGCTGCCGGATGACGTCATCCCGTGCGCAATCGCCGACACCGGGCAGAAGACGCGCCCTAAAACCACACGCACACACACACGCACAGATACACACACACAGATACACACATGTACACACATGTACACGTGAGAGAAGGAGAGACAAGACACAGACCGCGCCGTGTGCAATCGCGTGATGCAACGCGCGTGGCAGTGGCAGTGCCATTGACGCACTGGTAGAGGTTGAGGATGAGCATCCACATGCCCGAGAGGGAGAACTTGTACAGGCTGTCCAGGTCGTCGTCCAGCTAATACAGCACGCGGCGGTGGTGAAACCGAGCACGTGATGGGTGGACAAGTGGAGGAGGGGGAGAATGCGATGAGATGCAATGGTGGCGGCGGGAAAGTCGTGGCGGTGGAAATCGTTCAAACGAGCACACACACACACACACACACACACACACACACACACACACACACACACACACACACACACACACACACCAAACGCGAACAAAGGCAGCACGCGGCATGATGTGAAGCCGTGTCGCTGACTCACATCCTCTGCAAGGTTGAACCAGTCTGTGAGGGCATAGCGGTCGAGGAGGAGGTGGATGACGTGCGTGATGCCGAGCGCAACGCAGCCAATCTGCAGCGTCGCAATGTCCGCCTCAAACAGCTGCACGTGTGTGTGTGTGTGCGTGTGTGTATTGGGACGGGTTGAAGGCGTGATTGTTGGCTCCGAAGTGCGCGTGTGAAAATGCAACAGATACACGCGACGAGGTCATCACGCACATACACACACGTGCACACATATGAACACATCCACAACAACTTAAACAACAACAACTTAAACAACAACAATAGCCACTCGACAAGCGTCGACGTCAGAAGAGAACAGTGGTGCGACACGGACGAACCCAGTCGCGCTTGAAGTTTGACGTGTAGATGGACAGCTGATGGATAATCGGATACCCGTTCCGCACCCAATGCCCGGCCTTGAACTGCGCCATCAGCACCTGTGCACGTAAGCACCAGCGGCAGTTGTTGTTGAAGGGGAAGTGAGGAGGTGAAATGATTCTCGTGAGTGGTTGACAAGATGCACAGGTCAGACCAAGGGTCAAACACTCACTATGTGCATGTGCACACGCGAATGCGCGCGCGCGTGTGTGTGTGCATGCGAATGCGTGTGTATGTGTGTGCATGTGTGTTTCTGCAGAGGGGGTGCACATGTGTGCGTGTGTGACCTGGTTCTGCAGCGCGGGCTCGAGGAAGGCGAGGGCGACGGATGTCGCGTCCACCGTCAGCGCTGATCGCCATCCAATGGCAGGACAGCAACGTGAGATGTGGTGCGAGGTGGTGTTGCCATTGGTGTGATTGCCAGCGTGGAAACATGTGCAGCGCGCTGGTAGCAAGAGCGCCCGTGCGGATGTGATAATACACACGTCACCAACCGCCACCAAACCACCAATCACGAATCACCACCACCACCACGATCAACACACCTGCATGCTGGAAAAAGCGGTCAAACTTGACGGATTTGTCTTCAAGAGAGCAGATGAGGCGGGTCATAAACCTGAAGAGCAGGTGGCACACACGACGTCAGTGGCATGCCAGTGTGGCAGCGGTGGTTGATGGTGGTGGTGGTGGTGGTGGTGGTTGGCATGGAGCAAATGGTTCACAATCAGGCGTTGGATATGGTGGTTCAAGCGTGTGCACACCACCACCACCACCACCACCACGAACAGAACCAACAAGTTTGGGTGTGCCTCACGTCTGGAGCGGGTGGTGGAGGGACACGGGTAGGGCGTCGACTTGCAGCGGCGGAATGCGCAGTCCCGTCTGCTCATCCACGTGCTCCACAGCCTCCTTCATCGCACCGTCAGCGACCACCTCATCGTGCACTGCAGAATAAACGACGCAGGTGGAGAGAAGCAACGGTGAGCAGAGGCAGAGAGAAAGGCACGTGGTGCGACTTCACGTGAGCTCATCTGTGTGTGTACGTGTACGTGTGCGTGTGTGTGTGCGTGTGTGTATGTGTGTGTGTGTGTGTGTGTGTGCTCTCACGTGCTGTTGCGAGGAGGTTGATGGCGTCGATGCGGTCGTCCTGTGGAAGATTGTGCTCTTCGAGAATTCCTGTGAACACGTGAACGTGCAACCACAAGACGAAAAACAAACAGACCAATGCACTTGGTGAGATGACGGGGGTGACAGTAGTTTGTCGTCGTCGTCATCACCATCATTTGAAAGAGCACGCAGGGGCCAGTGATCGTACGAGAGAAGAGCGTGAAGAGAAGCGAAGTGATGTGGAACGCGGTGCGGTACGCCATGCTCTCCCGCCTGAAATCAAGGGAAACCACACACACACACACACACACACACACACATACACGCGCGCCACACATACACGCGCGCACACACGAGACGCGGGATGATGGTGTGAGTGGTGACGTTGAAAAGCGAGAAAGTGCAGGACACGCCGCAGTTGATACACAGATCAATAACACGCCACCTCCTCCCTACGATACGTGAGCAATCACATCACGACAGAGTGCCACGTACAGCACGTGCTCGCCGACTTGGCGCCGAAACGAGTCCATGTACTGGCACAGCTTCAGAATCTCGATGATGCTGGGAAAGGTCAAAGCAGGAGAACGCATGGACGTGAGCGCTGTGCGGGTGTAGGATGGCACACACGCACATGCGCACACACGCAAACACGCGCACACACACACACAAACAAACAACACACACACGCACACACACACATACAACACACAAACAACGCACAACACAACAAGGCGTACTCTGGGAAGATGGAGAGGACGGAGCCGACGTCGTTTCTGAGGAGGTATTTCATGTCAAACACGACATTCACCATCTCGTTCCGCGTGGCCTGCGTGAACGCAACGCGCGTCCCGTCTTCCGATTTGGGCAGCAGCTGTCGCGATGGGGGCAGCGGCCGTGGGATGAAGTGTGTGGATATGCGGGTTGAACATGATGGTCGAGCAAAGTGAGTTGGCGAGCAATGCCATCTGGCTCAAACGTCTACACAAAACAAACAAACACAAACAAACAAGCAAACAAGCAAACAAACAAACAAACAAGCAAGCAAACAAACAAACAAACAAACAAACACACAAACAAACACAAACAAACATACAAACAAACACAAACAAACAAACAAACAAACAAACAAACACACAAACAAACAAACAAACAAACACACAAGCACAAGCACAGCGAAAATACAAGCAATATGGAGAACGTACATCGCGGAGGCAGTGGAGCATGTTTGGCAGCACGTTGTACTGCTGCACGAGCATGCGGGCAAGCGACGGCACGGTGTAAATCTGCACGGAAATGTTGCCAATGCCGCCTTGCTCTGCCAATGGTGGAACGTGACACCGTGATGGTGGTGGTGTTGGTGGTGGTGGTGGTGGTGATCAGAGAAGAATACGGAAGCGGTTGTGGTGACCAACAACAGCAACAACAACAACCCGAGCGACCACGTTCGCGCAACTCGTCTACTGAACACCACACGTGGCTGTTGTGCATACAGCAAACCACATTATCATAGCACCACCAGTATTCGACTGCTCCTCGCCCTCTGTGCCCACCTTCGTTGCCATCCTGTGAGTACTGTGTGATGATGTCGCTGTAGTTGCGAGAAAACTGCACCGCAAGCACGGCCTTGTAATCAAGCTCAAGCATCACGCTCCCAAAGATCACAGCCCGAACAGCCGCCCTATATTGGCAGGTGGTGGTGGTGGTGGTGGTGATGACGATGATGATGACGATGACGGTGACGAGTACGAGCCACAAGCAAAGTGTCTCACATGCTTGGTGCCCCCAGCGAGACCGCAACGACCACTAACCCTGCCCTTCGTTCAATTCCCCCCCCCCCCGCGGGCGCCCTCAATTCTTCACTCCAAACCACTCTTGGCTCGGAGCAATGTACACCAACCTTGCGCGCTTCCAGAACTTGACCATGTTGAGCAGTAGCGATTTGAGGACGGGCTCGTCTGGCTGAGTCTATGCAGCGTGGAAATGCATGCAGGCACGCGGGCAGGAGGTGGGAGGCAAGCCTGCGTAAGGTGGGCGAACAGCAGCAGCGCACGTGCCACAAACACATGTATGCGCACGTACATAAACACATGTGTACATCCACAAAAGCACAAGCAAAACAAGGACAAAAGAGATCAAATTCAAAACAAACAACCACCCTGCCCCCTCTTCCCACACCAACAACCCCGGCGTGCTCGCTACGCTTTGCACGGGTGCACGTACGACGTTGTTGGCGAGAATGTCGGGCAGTTTGATGTCGCAGACACATCCGCACATGACCGCACGCACGGCGTCCACCTCCTTCGACAGCTGCCCGAGCCACGTCAGCACGTCAACCAGTACCTCCTGTGTATGCATGCGAGTGTGGATGTATGTATGCATGTGTGTATGTATGTATGTATGTATGTATGCATGCCTGTTGTGAGAGCGCGAGAGTGTATGTGTGTGTGTTTGTGTGTGCTTACGGAGATGGGCTCCTCACGCTGCTTTTCGAACACTACCACCACACCACCACCACCACCACCACCACCACCACCACCACCATGATCACGACGAGCACGACTGTGTTTCCCCGACCTGTGCAGCGACGGATGCGAGCAGCTGTTCGCGGGCGTCGAGGCGGATCTGCACCAGCGTCGTCGCCGCGTCAATGCACGGCCGCGGTCGCCCAATCTGAAACCAAACGTGAACGTGATGGTGGCGATTATGGTGGTGGTGGTGGTGATGGTGATGATCATGGTGAGGTGACGAGAGAAGCACAAACAACGCGAGCATGACAAAGATGACAAAGATGGCATGATGACACCACGTCACAATGACAACAACATCGAAGCACGATCAAAGTGCAACAGCAACCAGTGGCATGGGACCTGTACGATGACTCACGCGGACCACGGCGCGTCCCTCCACGTCGACGTAGTTTGCCCACGTCCGGCCGAGATCAGGCGTCGAGCCGACAGCGGCCTGCAACTGCCGTATCACCTGCAATGACAAGAGGGAGGGGGGTGATGATGATGATGATGATGATGATGATGATGATGATGATGATGATGATGATGATGATGATGATGATGATGATGATGATGATGATGATGATGATGATGATGATGATGATGATGATGATGATGATGATGATGATGATGATGATGTGATGGCGAAAGTGTGTGAGGATGGCGGTGCACAAGGCACCATGGTGGGGGATCGCATTAATAGATTTGAGACACATGCGCACGCATGAGCGTGTGTGTTATACGTGTCTGTGTTTTGTATGAAACGTTGCTGTTACCTGGTCAAAGGTGTGCACCTCGTCGTTGTACAGCGTCGTGCAGTGAAGACTGCGAGGAAAGTAAAAATGAGCGTGTGTGAGGGATCCACAAACAGAATCGAACACAGACATGCACACACACACACTCAGACG